ATAAAGGTTTTGTATCCATCTACAACTAAAAAAAAAATGAAGGGCTGAGGCCAGGCTGGGTGATACACACCTGTAATCCCAGTGGCTTTGAAACCTGAGGCAGGAGGATTATGGGTCCAAAGCCAGCCTCAGCAAAAGCGAGGCACTAAGCAACTCAGTGAGATCCTGCCTCTGAATAAAATGCAAAATAAGGCTGAAGATGTGGCTCAGTGGTTGAGTGCCCCTGAGTTCAATCCCCTGTATCAAAAAAAAAAAAAAAAAAAGTAGGGTTGGGGCTGTGGCTCAGTGGTAGAAAGCTTGCCTAGCATGTGTGAGGCACTGGGTTCATATATAAATAAAGAAAATAAAGGTCCTTCAACAACTAAACAATATATTCAAAAAATATAAAATATTCAACAACAACAACAAAAATGTGAGGCATGAAACGAAACAAAAAGGGGTAACCCATACTCAGTGTGTGTGTGGGGGGAGGGATGGGAAGAAAGGCAGTGAATAATAATAGTTTCTGTCCTAGAGGTTCAATTTAATGGACAAAGACTTTAAAGCAGCTAAAAAAAAGTAATAGAGTTAGGGATTTAGTCCAGTGGTCTAATGTTTGCCTAGCATAGGCAAGGCCCTGGATCTATCCCAGTACTTGGGGCATGCGGGGAGAAGCTGCTAGTATAAAGGACTAAAGAAAATCACACTTAAAGAATAAAGGAAAGTTGGGCTGAGGCTGTAACTCAGTGGTAAAGTGCTTGCCTCACATGTGTGAGGCACTGGGTTTGTCTTAGCACCATATAAAAATAAATAAAGATATTGTGTGTCCATCTACAACTAAAAAAATATTAAAAAAAAAAGAATAAAGGAAAGCATAACAACAATGTATCAATACATGGACACAATGTATCAACACATAGACCCTTGAAAAGAAGTCCCAGAAGAGGAAAGAATACATAGACACAATGACACATCCAAGCTATGCCAATCTCTCTCCTAGAACTTTGGAATTTCTTTTTTTTATCTCAGATTTGGGAATCCCTGGAACTGAATTCAGAGAAAAGATGTAGAGTTTATTGCAGTCCTTAGAACTTGTCTGATTCCTATATGAAGTTTCACTTCTCAGCTATTTCTTGGATTCTAAATTATCATAGTACCCTTTGAAATTTGAAGAAGTTTCCTTAAAAAAAAAAAGACAACTTATGCTAGACACTCAAAATCAAATCAAAAGAATCTTAACTAAATCGCCCTCACCTATGTTCTTGATACATTCTCTTTAGCCAAACTTACATTCTTTTTTTGTTTTTTAAAGAGAGAGGGGGGGGGAGAGAGAGAATTTTAATATTTATTTTTTTAGTTATCGGCGGACACAATATCTTTGTTTGTATGTGGTGCTGAGGATCGAACCCGGGCCGCACGCATGCCAGGCGAGCGCGCTACCGCTTGAGCCACATCCCCAGCCCCATTTTCACATGGTTTTGCAAGAATTTCTGTTTCTAAGAGTTCTTCATGCTCATTTTTGAAATTGTACTTTCAAGAACTGATTTATATTAATAGCGAGAAGAAAAAGTTGATCACATTTATAAATATCCACACACTGATAATCTTATGAATGTTCTTAATTCAACACCCTATATACCTTTAATTCCTTAAAGTAGTTTTATGGCTCAGAAAGTTCTCTCTCTATCACTAGCTACAGAGGAGAGGAGAAATCTCATTTATATCTAAGAGACTTTTCGCTAATTTTGAAAACTGTATTTTTAAGGTCAGTTTCTAGATTTCATTAGTCAGCATTATAAGCAAGAAGTAGGCTAGTGGAGGTAAATTATGCTGGCAGAAGTGGAGGAAGAGATGAATAGGTGGGCTGGGGCTGTAGCTCAGTGATAGAGAACTTACCTTGCAGGTGTGAGGCCCTGAGTTCCATCCTCAGCACCACATAAAAAAATAAATGAATAAAAATAAAGATATTAAAAAAAGAGATGCATAGGCTTTTATTTAATAACAGTGAAATAAGGAGTTTATAGCATTTAACTCTCTAAAAATATCAGTCATGCCAACAGGAAGTATAGGAGAGAAAATTATGTTACGCAATTATGAGAAAGATGATCTATAGTGACTTTAAATAAAAGCAGTGGGAGAAATTTCAGGTCCAACACAGGACAACTCTGGCCATTTCAGTCCCATGCTCTATGTGGAGTTGCTTCTGGTGGAGTTCAACTGATTCTTTTGCCTAACCCTGCTTTCTTCTCTCTCCTGCCACGGGTGTTGAAGCCAAAGGCCTTTCCCAATAAACATCCTGCACACTAAACTCTTCCTCAGAGTTTGCTTTCCAGAGAAGCCATCTTGTAAAGGTACAAATATTGTCTTTCCTTTTGCCCAAAGAAAGTTCATTTATTTAAACTTGAATTCAGGAGTCCTTATAGCATTCTTCAACTGGGGAACTAAGTACCTATAATAATAAAAAATGGCTCTAACATATTTATGATCCCATTTATATAAAATGCCCAGAGAAGGCAAATCCATAGAGACAGAAAGTAGATTAGTAATTGCTAGGTGCTGGGGGAGAGGGAAGAGCAAAGAGTGACAGATAATGGGTAAAGGGTGATAAAAATATCATTCAATTAAATGTTGATAGCAGCAAAATCTTGTGAATATACTAAAGATCACTGAATTGTATATTTTAAAATGGCAAATTTTATAATGCGTGAATTACATCTCCATAAAAATGTTAAAAGCATTAGCTCTAGTATGTTTTTGACAGTTCCTGAGAACTTTAGACAGATTCATCAAATATGAAGTTTCTATTCATCCATTCATCTATGCAATTGATATTTATCAAGTACCTTATTCTTGGCCTGATACAATAAAAAGTGCTGGTAGATTCAGAAAAACGAAGTCAGTGATACATGGACCTTGAATGTCTTACAGACTAATGGGAGACAGGTGTGGTTTTATCTCCTACCTTGTTGTATTATTTCTCTAGGATGTATTTGTATCATTATGAACAATTATCACTTCCACAAAAAAGGTACTTATTTAGCATCAAATTATCTTTGATGTTGCACTAAGTACTCCATACTATGCAGATTAGACATACTTATATTCTTTCTCCTGAGCAATTTGCAAACTGACAGAGATGACTACACAGGAAGTCATATGAGGTCATTTTAATTAAAAATAATTTAATGAATGAATATATAAACATATCAGATTAAAAGTTTATATTATGCTTGAGTGAAACAACATATACACCATAGCATTTTTGGATAAGGTAGGTATAAGAAAAATTGACACCTCCCTCTATTTAAGTCTGGAAAGTGATTATCTCAGAAATTGTTTGAATAATCAAAGAGACAGGATTAAGCTTCTACAGATGGATGAGAGAAGGGAATTTTCCAGATTTATGGCAAATATAGCAGAAGGGTAGGTGCTTGGAATCAAGTAGGAAAATTTGCTCCTTTACTTATTAGTTATTTAATCTAACTTAGTACTTAGCTGATTTAACTTCAGTTTCCTCAATTGTAAAATGGGAATGATAATAATATAGTTGTTTTAAAAATTAAATCACATAGGGAAAAAGTCACATAAGGCATTAGTTACCTCAAAATGTTATAGAAATGACAGCAACATTAGAAGTAGAAGAGAAACAAGATGAAAAGATACCTGTAAATTCATTCCTTGAATTTTTGGGATTAGGAATTCATTCAAGGAGAAAAATCACAATTGTTACCTGCCCCTAGAATTGTGACAGCTGAAGTGAATTTAATGTTGCAGTTCTGCTTTGAAAGACTATTTTTTAAAAACATTTTTGATTGGTGTGTGTGTGTGTGTGTGTGTGTGTGTTTTATAGATGGACATAATACCTTTATTTTATTTTTTGCATGCTAGGCAAGTGCTCTATCACTGAGCCACAACCCCAGCCCCTGAAAGACTATTTCTTTTTAGATCAAGTATTAAAACTACCTTTATTTTCTACTATTACTTTTAGTTTGAGCATTTTCTTTTTCATCAGTTGATTCCAGTTACTACAACAAAAGGTTATTGAAGGTCTATCTGTACAGATACAAAGATTAGTTCCTGCGGGAAATTCAGATATTTCCTAGTCATTTTCTGAAGCTTTTCTAAAGAAGTGAAAATGCTTAGAGGTCAAGCTACCAGGAAATCCAACCTATTTGATTGCTACCTGCTTGCTGACCACACCAAATCATCTTTCAGCTATTCTATACCATGACTTGTGCTTGTGTGTTAGCTCTCATAGGAATTCAATGTAAACAGCACTTCTTATACACGTAATTTCAGGATAGTCTCCCCAAGGGTTTGAAGGCCCTGAGGACCCACGGCTGTTCTAGGATGAAGACTTGCTCAACCCCGACCAGCAATAAAAGAATTGCTTAATAATTAATGAAATTACAAAATCAGTTCACATTAGGTAATTCATTTTCGAGCAATCTGGAATTCTGTGTAAAAGAAAAGGCTAAACCCTGTCATAAAGTCTCGCTAAAGGGCCCTGAGCCATCAGCCTGGAGAGAAGTTTTAACTGTAGCTCTGCCCCTAACTCGCTGAAAGGTAGGTGGTCCACACATCGTCCCTCAGAGCCTCAGTTTCCTCACCTACAAAGCAAGGGTTAGGGTTGATAGTCTCTCTCTACGGTAACTTCCCAGTCTGAGGCTCACAGAGACCATAACACGAATAAAATTCCTTCAAGGGCAGATGGATGTGAACTCCTGGTCAAGGTTGAATGATTTGCTCTTTGGGTCCAGGCAGTTAATTTATTAATGCATTTGCTCAGACGTATCTTTTGAAGCTTGGTATTTCCCCGGCCTCTGACGGAAACGTGGGGATCAGAAGAATCCTCCCTAAACTTCAAAACTCTGCCCCTGGGAGCTCCGTGAGCTCGGAGCCAGGCTTAGTCCTGCGCCTGCGTGGTGTGGTTGGAGGGCTAAGGTCATGCTGGAGCCAGCCCCTCTCTTCTCGTCAAATCTCGCGAGATCTCCCCCAAGCTCCGCGACGGTGAGTGGCGCGCTGAGGGTCGCTGGGTTTGTTTTACTCGAGCTAGGTAAGGTTGGTGCTGTAAGGGAGGAAGCTCCGAACCAGGATTGTCCTCCCGCCTTCCTCCCGCCTTCCTCCCGGAAATACTGTCCACGCTGGCATTCTTGCCAAGGATACTAGGGTAGGAAATGACCGAAAAGGAGGCGTTTTTTTTTTAAGAATTATTAGGGGATGGCGCAGGCCTGTAATCCCAGTGACTCCTGAGTCTGAGGCAGGAGGATCGCGAGTTCGAGGCCAGCCTAGGAAATTTAGCAAGCCCCTGGTCTCAAAAATAAATAAATAAATAAATAAAAAGGACTGAGGATATAGTTTAGTGGTAAAACACCCCCGGGTTAAATCCCCAGTACCAAAAAAAAAAAAAAAAAAAGAATTGTTAGCTGGGTAGCCAAGTGTGGTGGTCCTTGCCTGTAATCTGAGCCAGCCTAAACAATTAAAAAAAAACCTGCCTCAAAAAAAAAAAAAAAAAAAAAAAAAAAAGGGCTGGAGATGTAGCTTAGTGGGAAAGCGCCCCTGGGTTTGATCCCCATTACTAAATGAGGATAGGTGGGGGGAGAATTGTTAGAGGTAAGCAACTTTAAGTTTAGATATAATTGAGGTGCCTCTGGGACTTTTAGTTAACATCACTCTATTGGGTGGTACCAGGCACAGGGGCAGACTTAAATCATTGAACAAAACTTACACAAATATTATTAGTGCTGACAGTCTTAGAAATTTTGGACTATTGGTGCAGGTCATTAGTAATTTCCACGTAAGTAGCTGGTAGTAGGAACTGTAAAGGAAAATGAGGTCACTAAGAAAGGAAAGAGCCATGCAGGATTCTTACATGTAGGACTTGGGGAGAGGAGAGGAAAGGACTGGCAGGACAAAGCAAAGGTCAGCAAAGTCATTTGTGGTGGAGTACTAGAACAAGATAAGCATAAAGAAGTGTTTTATTAAAAGGTATTAGGGGGTAGAGATGTACTTTGTGCTTGCCTGACATGTCTGAAGCCTTGGGTTTGATTTCCCAGTACTGCATATTTGGAAGCTCATGTTAGGAAAATGGTATGTGAGTATGAATTCTAGTGTTGTTACTGCAAGTAATGGAACACTGGACAACCTTCAACCTCTTTGTGTCTGCCTTTCCTCCTTTATAAAATGGAAGTGATATTACCAACCTCACAGAGCAGTTTGGGGCTGGGATTATGTTTAAACAAGATAATGATAAGAAGTCTTTAGCTTAGTCTTTAGTTTAGCATCTAGGAAAATTTAGGAAACAGACTGAGAAACCCTTATTTTTCAAGGTCCCACTTTTAGTTGAACATCTTTGTTTTACTTATTTATTTATTTATCTTATGTGGTGTGGAGGATTGAACCCAGTGCCTTACAGATGCAAGGCAAGCGCTCTACCACTGAGCCACAACCTCAGCCCCAAATAGCACACTCTTTATGACTGGTACTGAGAAAATTTTTCAGTTGATCATCCATCTGTATTATTTTTTAATATTACTTAGCACCAGTTAGGAAACCACTTGGTATCATATCAAATAAGATTTGTTGAGTTTTTTTTTTTTTTTTTCTCTTCACTTGGAATGAATCTATCACTATCACTACCCCTCCTTTCAGATCTTGTATCTGGTGCATCTTATTTTAGATGTTAACTAAACCAAGTGCTTTATATTCTTAATGTGTTGTTTGTTGTGCTATTGGGTATTGTACAATTATCCTGCATTTCTTATATTTGGCACTTGAAAAGTTTCTAATTTAGTATAGAGGGAGAGAACTGTATAATAAGTATTTGGACAGATATACAGTTTTGTAATTTTATTTATTTTATTTTTGTGGTATTGGAGATCAAACTCAGGTATTCTTTATCACTGAGCTACATTCCCAGTATTTTTTATTTTGAGATAGGGTCTCATTAAGTTACCTAGGCTAGTTTTGAATTTGTGATCCTCCTGACTCAGCCTTCTAAATAGCTGGGATTATAGGCATGCACTACTGCGCATTTTAAAGAAATAAAGCATACTGTTGAGAGTAGAAAAGAAAGCAAATATAAAACTTTATTTGGAAAAGTTCCTTTAGTTGAAAATTTAGCCATCATTGTATGATTAATAACCACTTAAGGGTAGTTGAACCTACTTTACTTGGAAAAACTTTGCTTTTTAATACTACATAATTAACACCCATGGTGTCTGACATTTCCCTATGGACTTCATGATGTAATGAAATAGGATGTAGATAGACCACATTCAAAGATTCCTGCCTAAAAAAAAAATGAAACTGAATTTAATTAAGCTTCTAGATTTACTTACGAGTGACAAGCAATGGGCGAAGATAGAAGAAAAATGCAGATGATACTATTAGGAAGCTATCATGGATCATTTTACAAACAAAGGAATGAAGAAACAAAGCGATAGCATGAAATAGAAAGTTCCCAAATGTATGTGATCTTTGAATCCTGATTCTAATGAATCAACTATAAGAGACATCTTTGAGCAATCAGAGAATTTCAGTATATACTAGGTATTAGATGATGTTAAGGAATTACCTGTTCTGTTAATTTTGTTAGGTGTAATAATGGTATGGTGTTTAAGGTGGAAACAATCCATTATCAAAGATGGTTTAACTGAAGGATTTTATGTGAAATGGGATGATTCTGGGATTTGCTTTAAGGTGAATCTGGAAAATATGGTCTTATCTGGCAACTTTGTTTTTTTTTTGTTATTAGATTATCATCAGTTTATTATAAAAGACACATGGAAATTATTTACATGATGAAAGATCTCAGAACTTCAGTGGAATGGGCAGCTTCATAGGATGCCATTTCAACAGTGATTTGTTTCAGTCTACATACTTTCCAAGAATGTCACCATCTCTAAATAAGAAATAATCCTTGTCATCTAGAACTACTTTGGTGCCTCCATACTCTGGGAGAAGAACTTTATCTCCAACTTTCACACTAACTGGCTGAATCTCTCCACCCTTTCCTTTAGAGCCTGATCCCACAGCTACTACTGTTGCTTGCAATACTTTTCCTTGAGATTTTTCTGGAAGCATAATGCCTCCTTTGGTTACAGTTTTGGCTGCACTCCTTTCGACCAATACTCGGTCAAAAAGTGGAAGAAACTTTCTAAATGCTTGTCCAGCCATGACTCGTGCCGCCGGCAACTTTGTATCTAGAAGAAGAGAATGAATATTGATAGCAGCTAGCCATTTCTATAACAACCAATAAGAATATATATAAATGTATATAAGAATGTATATAAAACAAGGAAGCAAATAATACATATTTCCATGTTCTTTCTATCTTACTGAATGTCATCAACATCAGACATTGTTATGGTTTGGATTTGAGATATTCTTCAAAAAGTCCCTTATAGGAACTATAAGCAGGTGGGGTGTGGCTAGAATAAGTAGGTCACTAGAGGCATCTTTTTCTCTGCTTTCTGGCTGCCATGAGCAGACAACTTTCCTCTACCACACCTCCTGCCATGATATTTGGGCTTACCTCAGGCCCAGAGCAGTGGAGTCAGCCAACCATGGACTGAACCACTGAAACTGTGAGCTCAAAATATACTTTTCCTCCTCTTAAGTTGTTCTTATCAGGTATTTTAGTTACAACGATGAAAAGCTGACTGACACAGACATTTAGTTATTTTTTGTGGTGTTGGAACAAACCCAGGGTTTTATGCATGTTAGGCAAGTATTCTCCAGCCCTAGACATTTAGTCTTAAAAAGGAGTAGAATTTTCCTTTAGTATAGGGTACTTGCAGGAGAGTTGGAGGCTGCTAAAAGGTTGTGTATGTAAAAGCCTTGTTTGGGGAAAATTTGGGGAAATAATAGAAAATGTAACATTTGGAGCTGGGCGCCATGGTGCATGCCTATAATCTCCTTGGCTTAGGAGGCTGAGGTAGGAGGATCGCAAGTTCAAAGCCAGCCTCAGCAACTTAGCAAGGCCCTCAACAACTTAGGGAAAGACTGTCTCAACATAAAAAATAAAAAGGGCTGGGTTGTGGCTCAGTGGTTAAGTTCCTATGGGTTCAGTCCCTGGTACAAAAAAAAAAAAAAAAAAAAGCTTTGGGGGCACCTGTAGTCCCAGCTCCTCAGGAGACTGAGGAAGGAGAAGCACTTCAGCCCAGGAGTTCAAGGCCAGCCAGGCAATATAGCAAGACCTTATCCCAAAAGAAACAGAACAACAACAAAAATCCAGCTTTAATGTGTTTGCTTTTTGTCAGCAAAACTATTGAAGATTTCCATTTTGATAAGTGAATAAAAGAAAGAACCTTTAAAATTTTGATTATATCTTAGTTAATCAGTGTTTTATTTTGCCTCTAGATTAACTAGGTATCTCTGGAGGAGGAATATATCATATTTTTCTTTTTTATATATTTATTTTTTAGTTGTAATTGAACACGATATCTCTATTTTATTTATTTATATGGTGCTGAGGATCGAACCCAGCATGTGCGAGGTTGTGCTCTACCGCTGAGCTACAACCCCAGCCCCTCATATTTTTCTTTAAATCAAGCCATATTAGGATGCTTAATCATGGTGGTATGAAGATGAAATGTGCTTGAATTATCTAAGGCCACAATCATTTTGCCTCCTTCAGTCTTCAGTGAAATTGTTCCTATTAACTAAGAATTCTAACTGAATTTAGTATTACTTCATATATTTGCTTTAGGAGGCAAACTCTGATAGAAAAGTATTATGTCTTTTAATTCCAAATATTTATTTTTTTCTTGTCATTCAGAAGCACAAATGGATTTCTCTTTAATTTTTAAGTTGTTGAATGCTGTTAGCTTTTTGCCACTGTGACCAAAACACCTGATATAAGCAACTCAAAGGAGGAAAGATTTATTTTGGCTCATGGTTTCAGAGGTTTTAGTCCATGATAAGCTGGCTCCATTGCTTTGGACCTGAGGCAGGACAATATCATGGTGGAAGGTCAATGAAGGAGAAAAACTGCTCAGCTCTTGGCAGCTGGGAAGCAGAGAGAGAGAGAGAGAGAGTACCTGATAAGGTCAGAGCCCTGTGATCCAATCATTTCCTAACAACTCCACCTCTGAACACTGCTGCATTGGGGGCCAAGCCTTTGGGGGACATTCCATATCCAAAGCATAGCAAATACTTTAGATCTTTCTTGTGATTTAAGCATTTTTCTATTTATAGGAATTATACAGAAATCTTGTGAGACGACTGCACAAACAGAGTGATGATTGTACAGCAAGTGGTATTAAATTCCCGACCTGGTAGGTATTTGTCTATAATGAATGAACAACTGCATTTTTTTGATAATTGCTGATGTATATGAAGGAATAAAAACTAATATGATATTAATTTGGTGAACTAAGGTAGTAAAATATTAAGATAATATAACAGAAGAAACTCTTTAAACAATGTAGTACTTTTTCAAATGATAACTTATTAAGACCATTGTTGATGAGATAAGGTATTTTTTGTATCATAACATTTAAAAGCCACATATTACAAATAAGTGTGTTTTCTTGGTGGGGGAGGGCTCCAGGGATTGTACCCAGGGGCACTTAACCACTGAACTACATCCCTAGCCCTTTTTATATTTTATTTTGAGACAGGGCCTTGTTGAATTGCTTAGGGCCTCGCTAAATTGCTAAGGTTGGCCTTGAATTTGTGATCCTCCTGCATCTCCCAAATTGCCGGGATTACAGGCATATGCCACCAAGCCTGGAGGTATCATTGATTTTTTTTTTAAAAGAGAGAGATAGAGACAGAGAGAGAGAGAGAGAAAATTTTTTAATATTTATTTTTTAGTTATTGTTGGAAACAACATCTTTGTTTGTATGTGGTGCTGAGGATCGAACCCGGGCCGCACTCATGCCAGGCGAGTGTGCTACCGCTTGAGCCACATCCCCAGCCCCAAGTATCATTGATTCTTAAAATTTGATTTTCTGTTTTATGTTAAATGTACTGACTTATGTTAGAGTTGATATCTAACTGAATCATAGAAACTTAGGTATGTAAGAAACCTGAAAAGTTTGGGCCCACTGTTATCTTCATTTTACTGTTTACTGTGACCTGAGGAAGTCATGTAACTTTTCTGACTTCAGTTTTAGAAAAGTGGGCGGTTAGAATAAGATCCTTACATTCTAAAACCCAGTACTGGGGAGACTGGCTAGGAAAATCACAAGTTCGAGTCCACCTAGGCAAATTGGTAAGACCCTATCTCAAAATAAACAGACTGAGGCTATAGCTCAGTGGTAGATCACACAGATTCAATCCCCAGTACTAGTGGGGAAAAAAGATCTTTACGTTCTATTCCCACCTTAGAAATTGGATGATTCTTGAATAGGCAGATTACTTATGTTAAAGTTATCAAATCTGAGTAAACTTTTAGTGATGACATTTTCTGCTTACAGACTTTTTTCATGTCTCAACATTTCTAATTTGTTGATTTTTAAAACTTTTTTTAAATTTTATTTTTTTAGTTGTAGTTGGACACAATACTTTTATTCCATTCATTTATTTTTATGTGGTGCTGATGATCGAACCCAGGGCCCCCGCGCATGCTAGGCGAGTGCTCTACCACTGAGCCACAATCCCAGCCCGAAACTTTTTTTTAAAAAATATTTATTTTTTAGTTGTAGTTGGATAGTTAGAATTTATCTATCTATCTATCTATCTATCTATCTATCTATATTTTTTTTAGAAAGATTCTGTTTGCTTCTCAAAATGAGGAAGCAAAACTCACCTAACTTTTCACTTCAGTGGAAGTGTTTCTGCTAGTTTGTAAAATTTTAATTTTTGTAATTAAAAAGACAGCTGAAGGCGATTTTATGTTTTTTGAAATCCTAAAATTAAAACAGGTGAGGTGATTTACCTATAATCATTAGAGGGCTGGAGTTATGGCTCAGTGGTAGAGTGCTTGCCTTGCATGTGTGAGGCACTGGGTTTGATCCTCAGCACCACATAAAAATAAAATAAATGAAATAAAGGTATTGTGTCCAATTACAACTAAAAATAAATATTAAAAAAGAAAGAAAGATGTTCCCTAAAAAATTAAAAAAAAAAAATTAGAAGCTGAAAGCAATCATTGAAAAGAACTTCTTGGAGAACATCAAGAGTGATGAAAACTGCTTGAGACTATGCTGAGTCATTGCTATAATTTCAGAGAAGTTACAAGACAATATGGATTTATTCATGCCTGTTTTAAAAGGGAGTGCCCTGAATCCCAGGTGATCTTTTAAAAAAATAGTAACTGTATATAGGGAAGTGACTCTTTGACTAAATTTTTGCCTGATATTTTAGGAAAAAATGGTAATCCAGTGGCAGAGAATTTCCGATTGGAAGAAGTCAGTATATCAGATACTATTAATGAAGGACAAGTACAAGTTAGAACTCTTTATCTTTCTGTGGATCCTTACATGGTAAGAACCAAGAGGTGTGATTTGGTGAAAAATAATTTTATTTTCATATTGTTGCATTAGAATTTTATTGTGCTATCCTTATGACTAATAAATACTTGGGCAGTTGTATCTTGACACTTATTAATTATAGATTACCTTATTCATTGCTTTTATTAAGGAATATTTTGAAGGAATGTATTCATAATAGTAGTATATGTGGTTAGTGAGTTTCTTCCAAATGTCTATATCACTCCCAGTAGTAAGTAAAGCTTGAATAATAAAGTAGGGTTGGAAGTTCCCTCAGAGGATCTGGTTTATAAGGCAGACTGTATGTGAGACCTTGATTCTAGTTGATCTCTTTTTGAAAGGGGTAGACTCATTCATGCTACCTTTAGATTAGGGAGAATTCTTGAAAAGATTGCTGAGGGAGGCAATTAAGAAAACCATCAGGCACAAGGTCTTAAGCTTTAAGTGCTGGCTTCTTTCTTTCTTTGTCTCATAGTCTTCTTTACTCCTAACTTCATCTCATGGCCATGACATGTATATCTCCATCAGTTTATCTCCTACTATCAAGTCTCAGTGCTTAGAATCAGATTGCTGAGATTGGGAAATTGGCCAGTTTATCTGTTATATTATCTATTTATAGGTTAATGACCCACTGTACTAGTTTCCTATTGCTACTATAGAAGGTTACTATAAACTTAGTAGCTCTAAATAACACAAATACATTATCTTATAGTTATGGAGATTTGAGATTCAAAATGGGCCCCACGGGGATAAAATCAAGGTTTTGGCAGGGCTGCATTTGTTCTAAAGGCTCTAGAATTTTTTTTTTTTCCTATTGTGGCCTCTAGAGGTTGCCCATGTTCTTGCATGGGCCTTGTATTATACTGGTTTACCTTTGCATCAGTGGTCACATCTCTGACTTTTCTCTCTCTTATCAGGACCCTTGTGATTTCATTGAGCACACTGGGATAATCCAGGATAATTTTGCCCATCTCAAGTCTCTTTTGCCATATTGACAGGTTCCAGAGGTTAGGACATGAACATCTCTGGGGGTCATTATTCTTCCTACCAGCAATCTAGGGTTGGCTATCCAGGAGTCACATGTCCCTGCTAAATCCATTTATCTTTGGTTGTAGGGAGAGTTAGGCAATGGCTGCCCTTTGGTGGCAGAGCAGTGGCCATGAGAAAGTACAGAGAAGCTCTCACCAAATTACAAGGTTCATAACAGAATTGCCTATCTCTGAACAATGGAAAGAGTTCATTTTACATAGGGATTAGGTTCTATAGCAGGATTATGAGTCAAAACCTGTAGTCAGTCAAAATACTCTTAGAAAATCCTTTAAATTGGTATTAAATTACTAGGATCTAGCTCATTGGAAACTCAAAAATTTAGAATCATTCTATCTATCCAAATAATTTGATTTTCTGAAGCTTTCCTTCCCTAAGCTTCAATTGCCCTTTGTATTAGACTGTTCCTGTTCCTCACCTTTTATTTTGTTTATTCATTTATCAGTTGAGGAACATATGGATAGTTTCCACAGTTTGGCTATTATGAATAATTTTGGGGTGAACATTTGTGTACAAGTTTTTGTGTGGATCATGTTTTATTTCTCTTTCATATATACCTAGGATAAGAATTGCTAAGTCACATATTGACTGTGTTTAAACCTTTTTTCCCCATCAGTACTGGTCATTGGACCCAGGGGCACTCTACCATTGAGGTACATTCCCAGCCCTATTGTTTGAGACAGGGTCTTGGAAGTTGCAGAGGCTGGCCTACGACTTAAGCTCTTCCTGCCTCAGCTTCCTGAGTTGCTGGAATAACAGGTGTGCACTACCATGCCCAGTTTTTATTATTTATATGGAGATGGGGTATTGCTAAGTTGCCTAGGATGACCTTGAACTTCCTGAGGTTGGTCTCAAACTTGTCATGCTCTGTATCAGTCTCCTGAGTTGCTGGAATTAGAGGCATTTGCCATTGTGCCTGGCTTTGTTTAACCTTTTCAGGAAGTACCAGATTCTTTTCCAAGATGCTTACAACATTTTACAGTTCTACAAGAAGTAAATAAGGGATCTAGTTTCTCTACACCTTCACTAATACATATATATATATTTTTATTGTAGCCATTCTAGTTAGTGTGAAGTGGTATCTCATTGTGGTTTCATTCTGCATTTTCTTTTTTAATGTATCTGTTTTTTTTTTTATTTATTTTATTTTTTTAGTTATCGGCAGACACAACATCTTTGTATGACACAACATCTTTGTTTGTATGTGGTGCTGAGGATCGAACCCGGGCCGCACGCATGCCAGGCCAGCGCGCTACCGCTTGAGCCACATCCCCAGCCCTCATTCTGCATTTTCTTGATGGCTAATTTTTAGCATGTTGTCGTGTGCTTAGTGGCCATTTGTATATTTTTTGAAGAAGTATGTATTCAGATCTCTTACATATTTTAAAATTGGATTATCTTTTATTATTGAGTTACAAGAGTTCTTTTTATATTCCAGAAATAATATAAAATATGTGATCTGTAAAATATTTTCTCTCATTCTGTGGATTGTCTTTCCTTTCCCCACTTTTCTTATGGTACTGGAATTTAAATTTAGGACCATGCGCATGCTAGGCAAGACTTCTACAACTCAACTGTTCCCTAGCCTTTTTTTACTTATTTTATTTTGAGACAGGGTCTTGATAAATTGCTCAAACTTATGATCTTTCTGCTTCAGCCTTGTGAGTAGCTGGGGTTACAGGCGTGTGCTACCATGCTGGCTTATCTTTTCACTTTTAATGGTATCCATTAAAGTATAGAAATTTTTGTTTTTGATAAAGACTGGTTTATCTGTGCTTTTTTTTCTTTATCACATACTTTCAGACTCATCTGAGAAGGCTTTGTCTCACTGAGGGTTAAAAAGAAAGATTTAGCTCTATTTTTTTTTCTAGGACTTTTATAATTTTAGTTCTCACATTTTAATAAATGACCCATTTTGAGCTAATCTTTGTATATGGTATAAGGAAGAGATTTGTGTTAGTTAAGGTTTTTCATAGAGTCAACAGAGGAGAGATACAGATGTAGATATATAGGTTTATGAGAAAGGACTGGTTCACATGATTTGGGGGAATAAAAAGTTCCATAATAGGCATTCTGCAAGCTGAAGAACCAGAAAAGTCTATAGTATGGCTCAGTCCCAGAGTCCCAGGGATGCAAATCCCAGTCTTCAAATACAAAAAAAAATCATGGAGTCCTAAAGTCTAAGGACAGAAGAAGTAGGGCATCTTGCTCCAGAAGAGTAAGAGCAAGAATTCACCCTTCTCCCTTTTTGTTCTGTCAGCTCCGCCATCACTGTCCAAGCTCCCCACTCAACCAAGGGCAGATCTTACCTCCTCAGTTCATCAACTCACATCAATCTCCTCTGAAAACACACTCACTGTAGCTGGGCATGGTGGTGCACTCCTGTAATCCCAGTGGCTGAGAGGCTGAGTCAGGAGGATTGCAAGTTCAAAGCCAGCCTCAGCAACTAGGCGAGGTGCTAAGCAACTCAGTGAGACTCTGTCTGTAAATAAAATACAAAATAGAACTGGGGATGTGGCTCAGTGGCTGAGTGCTCTGGGTTCAATCTCTGGTACCAAAAAAAAAAAAAAGAAAGAAAGAAAAAGAAAAGGGAAAAAAAAAATCACTCACCAAAACACCCAGAAACAGTGTTTCAGGGGCCATGTAAGCATCTTTCTTTCAGTCAAAACCTAAAATTGATCATCACAGTTTTTGTGCTTTTACATGTGGATACACAGTTGAATGAGTACTATGTGTTGAAAAGATTATCCTTTCCTCGTTGAATTCTCTTGGTACTTTTTTGAAAATTAATTTTCAAAATAAGGATTTATTTCTGGTCTCAAATCCATCAATCTGTTTATCTTTATGCTATATCTCACTGCCTTGAAGACTATAGCTTTGTAGTAAATTTTGAGATTAGGAAGTGTGAGTCTTCCAACTCTATTATTCTTCAAGATTGTTTTGGCTATTTTAGAATTTGAATTTCCTTGTTAGTTTTAGGACCAGATGGTCAATTTTTGCACAGAAATAAGCTTTTTTTTTTTTTTTTTTTTTGTACTGGGAATTGAATTGTCCTGGAACTTATGATCCTCCTATGTCATCTTCCTGAGTTGTTGGGATTATAGGCATAGGCCACTTTGCCCAGCCCAAGCTGGGATTTTGATAAGGATTACTTTGAATCTTAAATCAGTTTTAGGAATACTACAATCTATGATGGTTAATTTTATGTGTCAGCTTGACTTGGCCAAGGGATACCTAGATAAACATTATTTCTAAATAATAGAAACATTATTTCTGAGTGTTTCTGTGTTGTATAGTTTGGATCTGGAATGTCTCCAAAGGTTTGTATGTTAAAGACTTGGTCCCCATTCTCCCACTCCCCACCCCTCAGCTATAGGAAGGTGGTGAAAATTTCAGGAGGTGGGGTCTAGTTGGAAGAGGTGGGTCACTGAGGGTTGGGAGTGTGATGTTGATGGATCTTTATTTTATTCATTTATTTATATATGGTGCTGAGAATCAAACCCAGGGCCTCATACATGCTAGGAAAAAGCTCTACCACTGAGCTACATTCCCAGCCTGGGATATGCCTTTGAAGGTATATTTTGTCCCTGTCTTTTTCTGCTTCCTGACTGCCTAGCAATGAGCAGTTTTGCCCTGCCACACACTCCCTGATATGATATTGTGCCTGATCACAAGCCCACAGCAATGGGGCCAAGTGACCATGGAGTGACACCTCTGAAACTGTGAGCCAAAATAAATCTTTCCTCCTTTAAGTCTCTCATCCATGTCCCGTCCAGTCCAGTCCTTTCGTGTGTGTCGTGTGTGTCGTAAGTCCCATAACCCACCCCCGCTACACACACACACACACACACACACACACACACACACCCCACCCTACTAAGTTTGCTGTAAGGGTATTTCTGGAAACATTAGCATTTGAATCAATGGACTCAATAAAGCAGATGTTC